CGGGGGAGGTTATGGTGGGGGGTTTCGCCCGCTTTTCTGACGTGGAGGCGGCAGTCCAGGCGCTCGGACTAGATTTTGTGGGAAACCCCCCTTTGGAGGATTTTTCCGAAATGCAGGTGCAGGAGCGGCCCGGCCCCCCCCCAAAAAAGAGGGGGGGGCAGACCCTCCTCAAGGAGGGGTTGCTGGGAGAGGGGCCCTTCCTGGAGGGGGACATCCTAAAGGGGGCCTCCCCCCCCCCCCCCTTCCCAAGTCCCTCCCAACCCCCCCCCTCCCAAGTCCCTCCCAACCCCCCCCCCCCCCAAACCCCCTCCCCCCCTCCCCTCACCTCTGCACCTCCCCGCAGGTGTCCAGCTTCGTCAACCACATGGTCGACGTCGAGATGATGGAGGCGGCCGCGGCACGGCAGCGCGCCTCCCCCCCCGCGCCTGCCCCTCCCCACCCTCCCCCCCCCTGCCGCAAGGCGTGCGGCGAGGAGCTCGCCGAGCGGCTCGAGAAGCAGCAGCCGACTAAGGTCCTCACCGTCGAGGCGACGGGCTTGCTGCCCCGCCCTGCCGACATCTCCTAGACATGTCCGTGACACGTCCCCGACATGTCCTGTAGGCGACGGGCCTGCTGCCCGCCATGTTCGTCGCAAAGGCGCTCTCGTTGCCGTGCGTCTTTGCGCGCAAGCAGCGCCAGATCTCGATCTCAGACTCGTACCAGACGTCGTACAAGTCGACCGTCGCCTCGACGCCGCAGGACCTGTACGTCTCGACAGAGTGAGATCTAGCCGCGATCTAGCCGAGATCTAGCCGAGATAGGACCTGTACGTCTCGACAGAGTGAGATCTAGCCGCGATCTAGCCGAGATCTAGCCGAGATAGGACCTGTACGTCTCGACAGAGTGAGATCTAGCCGCGATCTAGCCGAGATCTAGCCGAGATAGGACCTGTACGTCTCGACAGAGTGAGATCTAGCCGAGATCTAGCCGAGATCTAGCCGAGATCTAGCCGAGATAGGACCTGTACGTCTCGACAGAGTGCTTCGCCGCCCCTTGCTTCGCCGCCCCTCCCGCCGCGCGCGGCCTCCCCTACCCGACGGTACCCGAACCCACGTGGCACGCCAGGTACCTCACAGCACCCTCCCCTACCACACACGGTACCCGAACCCACCCGTGGCGCGCCAGGTACCTCAACCCGTCCGACCGCGTGCTCATCATCGACGACTTCCTCGCAGGCGGCCGCACCGCCGACGCGCTCGTGCGGCTGTGCAAGATGGCGAACGCAAACGTGGTCGGCGGCGGCTTCCTGATAGAGAAGGCGGCCGACGCGGGCCGCGCCTTCCTCTCCGGGTACCAGATCCCGCTCGAGTCGATCGCGCTGGTCGAGGTCAAGGACGGCACCATCCACGTCATCGAGCAGGACAGCCGCGAGGCGCCGGCGCAGCTGCAGTCCGAGGTGGCCGCCGTCGCGAGAAACTTTGACGACTCGCCCCCCGACGACGACGACGACGGTCTCGTCCGTCTCAGTGTCTGAGAGATCGCTTGGTCGACTGGGCGGAACCGTGTGACCCACCTGCTGCTGCCAACACAGCGAGCAATCGTCAGACGTGTCCACGCCTTGTGTCCTGCGGGGCCCTTGCCGTCCCCTTTTGGCTGTTGGCTTATTCGCGCGGCGTCCGGCGACGAGACGTGCATGTACAACTCGAGTGGTGTAAGTGTTTTCTCTTTACAGTAACGAAAAACTCCTTGCGAGATCGGATCCCGGGCTACGGGGCGGCCGCGCCGAAATGAAAAGGTCGGAGAGCGCGGGAGGAGTCGCGCCCCGCAACTCGCTCTATCTGTTAATTCGCTGCCTCTCTCTGTGCGTGTGATCTCGCGCGGCATGCGCACGTGCCTCCCTCGCCCCCCCTACGAGCCTCGACCGACCAGCCACTGGAAGAAAAAGTAGACGCCGAAGAAGTAGATCAGGCTCGTCATCGACCGCCCGCCGCCCTTCGCCTGCTGCTGCTGCTGCGGAGGCTTGCTCGGCATGCCCGCCGCCGCCTTGGCGGCGGCCGCCGCCTCGGAGCTGCCGAGCGTGTTTGCGGCGTGCAGTGGGCGGAAGGGCGCCTCGTCGAGCGCCGCAGCCTGGGGGGGCGGGAGGCGGCGGGCTGGGAGAGGAGAGAGAGCGCGCGGCGCAAGGTGTGGCGCCGCCACGGCCCTCGCGCCGCCGCGACAGGGGGCGCAAGGTCTCGACGGCGATTAGAGGGCGGCACCCCTCCCCTCCCCTCCGCCTCCGTGCGCGTCAGGGGGAGGGCCATTCACGGCTACGTCTCGGCGGTCTCTCGGCGCCTGGGTCGGGCCACTCCACGGCGCCGCGCCAGCGTCTGCAGCGGCGGCGTCGGCCGGCGCTGCGCCCGTCCTTCGCTCCCT